CGGGGAAGGCCTTTGCTGTGGAGGGCGGGGCCTAAGCAAAGGCAAGGTTTGGGTAGTGGGTGGGGCCAATGCTCAGGACCCGTGGGGCTGGGAAAGGCCCTGGGGGCTGTGGGGGGGTGGAGCTTAGGCTCAAGGAACAGAAGGGACCCAGGTGTGCCCCCCACCTCTGGTCTCAGATGGTAGGGGACCTCACCTGGGAGCCCAGCAGGCTTCCTGGGCTCGAGTGGGTGGGGCAAACGCCCTCTTCTCCTCTCCTCTGGTCTGGGAGGGCCCCTCCTGCTTGCCTCTACTGATCTCCCTAGCCTCCCTCCTATGCCCCCAAGGACCAACGCAGCCTGGAGGGGGGTTTGGAGGGCGGGTACCGGCTTGGGAGCTCAGCAGGCTCCCCTGCCCAAGTGGGCCAGGCGATCCCGCTCTGCTCCCCTCCCACGCTTCCCAGAGAGTCCCTCCTGCCTGCCTCTCCTGATCTCACCAGCCTCAGGGGTGTCAATCCTGTCTGACCTCCACTTCTCTGCCCTCAGCCCCCCTACGTCCTACCGGTTCACTTTGGGGTTCCTCCTGTCTCCTTGGGCATCAGAGTCCCCCACCAGCAGCAGGCAGGTGCCCTAGTTATGGGGAGGCGCTAACTCTGCGTCTTCCCACACCACCCTCTTGACTCTTCCTTCCCTAACTATATTTTCATAGACAGCTTGGGGTAACATGTGAACTAAGAATATCTTTTCATGTTAATTTCATCTGAAAACAAAAATAGAAATGAATAAGTATATTACATAAATCCAGACTGATTTTTTGACTGTCTCTGTATTGACTTTATTTAAAAACATGGATGGTAACTTAACAATGTTAATAGGCAGAAACATTGAACTGGTGCCATTTTGGCAGTTCCAATGAAGAAAACAAGTGATAATTAAGTTTTCCTCTTTCTTGTGGAACATGGTTATACAACAGTTACATTATTCTGCCAGCGAAGTAGCCCTAGGAGAATTAAAGCATCGCTGGAAGCTGTACTCTAGTGTTATCCATGGAAGTATTTCAGAACTTTCTACTAACCAAGCACAAATCCCCAACATGGGATTATTATTATTTTTAGCTCTTGAAAATTAAAAAGAAAAATCTGTGAAGGAAATGTTTTTCATCTATGGGTTAAGCAGTACTCAAGAGAAAGCTGTATTCTAAAGGGTGAGTGTTTTAGTCAGGATTCTTGGCTACCAGGGACTGAAACCCAACTCAGACCAGTTTAAGCAAAAAAGGAGATTTTGTATGTTTTTACAAATCCTGGTGTAACTCACAGAACCAAAGGAAATGTTGTAGGAATGGGGCCCACTAGGAATTGGGCCCGTGTCCTGGGAGCACATCAGTATCCCTAGTCTCTGCCTCCCATTTCTGCATCTGTCCACATGCCAGCAGTATTTTCTTAGACATCTCCACCAGGTGCTCCCTCTGTGGCCAGAGGGGTGGGTTTTGTGATTTGCCGTCTGCAGCAGGACCATATGAAGTAGGAGGAGGAGCATTTTGCCAGAAGGGGAGGGTGCTGTTTGGAAAGATGAAACACTTCGGGTAGGACACATTTAGCAAGAGGAAAAGAGACCTCAGGTCTGAAAGATCAACTGGATTGGGTTATGTTTTGACAACTTCCTAAAACTACATAGACTAGATATTCCTAGGGAATGTTAGAATCTTTTTAAAAGACATGTATACACACACACACGTACTTAACATATTTTGTACAGATGTCCATGATACGTTAAATGAAAAAAAAGGTCATAAAATAGTGTATGACAGGTTCTATTTCCATAAAAACAAACCATCTAGCTCCTATATATATATATATATATATATATATATATGTATGTGTATCTTTGTTTGAGTGAAGAGAAAGGTGTGGAAGGATACAAAGGCTGACGTTGGTTACATCAAGGAGTTGAGAATAGGAGTTGGGGCTGGGGGAGATGATCAGCTTTGCCTTTATATATCATGTATTGTGTCATTTCACTTGTTAAAATAAGCTTGCGTTATGCTCGTAATTTGAGAAACATCCAATTAAGGAAAAAGAAGAGGAGCCTATTCCGACTGACCTCAGGAGCGTGGATGCAGGGATTGAATGTGATAGCTTGGGAGTCATGTCATTTTTTTTTTGGCTGTGCCGCATGGCTTGCGGGATCTTAGTTCCTTGACCATGGATTGAATCCGGGCTCTTGGCAGTGAGAGCGCGGAGTCCTAACCGCTGGACTGTGAGGGAATTCCCTGGGAGTCATGTTATCTTAGGCTGGCAGGCCAGGGCATTCCACTCTTCCCAGATTTCCAGGACTGGGAAGCACGGCAGAGGATGTTGCAAACCAGACTGGAGCAGCAGCAAACTGGAGAGATCCACAGCACTGTTGTTCACCAAGTCTGTATCCCGTACAGAAAGCAGACCTGAGTGGATCAGACCTACCACCACCCCTGATATAGCAAAATCTACTGGGCAGGGCCCTTCCTACCCAGCACACAGATGGCTGCTTCTGCTCATGGACTGCCCCTGCTCCAGTCAGCCATGGCAAGAACAGCTGGGCTACTTTCAAATGAAGCACCTGATCTGAGCCACTAATTATGCACGAAAGAAGAACTGATGCGCCCCTTTCATGGAAAAGAAGGCCAAACGGCTGGCCCTTTGAGCCTCATGGTCTGTTCGGTTTGGTTAAGAACTTCCAATGCCTGGCACCAACCTGCTACAGAGGCTCTTATCATAAGTAACACACCCTTAGGATTGTACATGGATGAGGATGTGTGTGAGGTCAAGGGGTCTCCCTGTCTGTTGTCACAGAACCACCATAATGAATGTGGCCAGAGAGACATGGGCTGAGGTCCTGACGAGGGAATCGGTGATGTGCGATGTTGTGAGGTGCTGAAGATCAAACAGACAACGGCAGTTGCCACTGCAGCCAGCCCTGCCATTTACTGGGTGCCTGTACTGTGCTGGGTGCACCACATACATCTTAGTGTGTAATTCTCAACGATTTGGGTGGCTGCTTTCAGTCACAGTTGATAGTTGGGACTCAGGGTAAGTGATGTGCCTCAGGTCCCACTGCCAGTAAATGGCAGGTTTGGGTTAGGACATTTCCCCCCAAACCACACAGCCTCCCGAGGAGCGAGCCTTTATTGCATTTCCCACTCACTAGCCAAAGGAGTTAGAGCAGCTCTGATTTTAGATGCATGGTCTTCATTCTTGAGATGGAATTGTTCCATCAGAACTAAAACCTAATTAAAAAATAATAATGTGCAGAATGGAAGGACGATGTAAGGCAAGTGGCTTCTGCCACTGGGAGGGCCATGCCTGTTCTCTTACTGCCACCTGCTAAGAGGGACTAGGGAGAGAACGGATCTGGGCACTGGGATTCGAGTGTGAATGCAGTTTGGGACACTAAATTGTAGGTGCTTATGGACCTGAGGCAGAGGTGGCCATGGGTGATACTTATTTGCATCTCAGAGAGTCTTTGAACAAGACAGAAAGATGGAAGAAAACTCTAGGTGCACAATGAAAAAAAAACAACACACAGAAATAATATGATCCCAGTTGTTAAAAATTGGATATAAATTTACCAAATAACAGTTATGTATGGCTATATGGTAGAATTAAGGGTATTTTATTTTCTTCTGAATATTTTTCTCTATGTATCAAGACTATTTGTAGTGAACATGCATTATTTCAATAATCAGGGGAAAAAGTTATTTATAAAAGAAAATGAGACCTGTTTCTTTAGTGGAAAATGTTCCATCATGATATGGGCGGGTGATAAGGTAGTGCCAGTAAGTGTGTCTGAGTGTCCATCACTATCCAAGATGTATGTGAACAGAAGCTCAGGTTCTCTGCATGATTACAAACAAACACAAACTAACAAACAAACTCAGCTTGTGGCAGTTGACAGATCAGGAGCTTGATAGGAAGTAAGAAGGCCAGCTGTAAAGGGCTGTTTTCTAGAAATACTGGAGCCTCCTCAGGCCATCCTCACCCACAGGCAAGCTTCAGAAATATGGCTCTGGGAGAAGCTGTGGTTATGGCTTTGTGGCTGAAAATCAGCATTAGAGAAGGGTAGGAGTCTGAGTTTTCAAAGCAGGTGTCCTTCCTGGCAGTGGGTGGAGAGCCCAGCCTTCTGAGTCTGTCCCTTGATGCCACAGCTTGTGTTTCAAGCCATTGTTCCCATTCATGGCATGTAAGTTAGGTTGAGAGAACTTCCTATTGAAGCTGCCAGCTGAGCTGTGACTGGTCATCCATTTGCAGAAATGAGTGCCTATCCTGGTCTGAAGTAATTGCTTCTGGTGTGACCTAGCTGGGCTGCTTACTCTTGTTGGTCCATCGTTGCTTGGACTGTCAAATAAAGGAGTGGGGATGGAGGATATATTTCAAAAGCTTCTTCGAGCTCTGAGATCTTAGGACCCCCTGTTCTTTGGAAAATGGAAATATCTTATAGGAGGTGATTCAGAGTGGCTTATTGTACACTTCAAAAGTGGCTAGTGTGACTGAGGAACTGAATTTTAAATTTTAATTAATTTTAACTAATTTAAGTTTAAATTTATATAACCACATGTGGCTAGGGGCTACCCTATTGGACAGCACAACTCCTTAACTGGAAAATCTAACACGAGGTGAGCATTTTGAATGCCTATATATATATTTTATATATACCTATTTTTGAAATTAAAAGAAACTTTTTATAATTTCAGAAAAACGCTTTGGGTTCATTACACACAATACAGACAAGAAGAAGAAGAAAGTAAAAAATAGTCACGAAAATACCTACTCAGAGATAACTTCTATTGGCACCTTGGTGTATAACCTTCTAAATTGTCTTCTGTGCTTACGTCTTAGATAGCCAGCTGGCTTTCAAAAGCATAGTTTGAAATCATCCAGGAAAGGGATAAGACGTGTTAGAAAGAGAGAATGCCTGCTCATTGCCCAGAAGAGAATACTGATAAAGATTTTAGCAATCTGCCACGGCTGATGTTTCTTTTCTGGGTGCTAGGTTATCAATCCTATGGGATGGGATGCATTTGGATTGCCTGCCGAAAATGCTGCGATCGAGAGGAATCTACATCCAGAAAGTTGGACGCAGAGGTATGTGTTTACAGGCATATTCAAGCACTTGTATACAGAACCCTTAAACAATTTTTTTAACCTGTGCACAAGAAATAGAAAGTAAAGCAAACAAAACATTGCAGTCTGCCAAGCAATAAACAGGATTGTCTGTATTTGGTGTTTGCCTTTTTGCACACTGTATTCTTATCTAAGAAATAACAAAGAGGGTTTGGATATCATTCATGTGTTCATTTTGATGCTTTGTTATTTAGTTATTCTTCCTTTGAGTATTTGCGTTTGGAAGGAAAAAGGAGAAGGAAAGGGTGACATTTGTTAAATTTCTACAGTGCTCTTCATCTTCGTGACTGTAGTTTGAGCCATATACAAATTCCACATTATAATTTTCTCTGCAAATTCTGTTAATTTTTTGCCTTCACCATTCTGAAGGAAGAGGAACTTAGATATTCAACGAGGAAATATATGGCCAATTTATTCTGGGTGTGGCTTTCTCCAAGGAGGACATACTCTCAGTACCCACTGTGCCTCAGGCTTCCATGTACTTGTGGGCCAGCAGTGCCCATCCCTCTCCCTCCTGATAAAGCCTTGAGGGCCTTATACCAGAACCCAGCAGAATGTTCTGGGCTCACTCCAGCCCCTTTCACAAAGCCTTTCCTCACCCTACCCGGTTCAAAGTCTATCCCCATTGTCTTTCACCTCCCTTTGCTTTATCTTGCCCAAGGCTACATTGTAAAAAGAAATATCTTCTGCACCATCTATTTGTCTTTTTTCTTCCGAATCCCTAGTTTCCACTTTTCCAATTATGGTTAATTCTAGAGTAACGGGAGTGATGAAAAAAGGAGGAAATAATGATTTAAATAAAATGGGTCAAATATGGTATAAATTTGATGTAAGCTAGGCTAGGGATTGGCAAATTCCATGGGCCAAATTTGGCCCTGCCTGATTTTGTAAATAAAGTTTTATTGGAACACAAGCCACACCCATTTGTTTATATATTGGTCATGGCTGCTTTCATGATACAATGGCAGAACTGAGTAGTTGTGACAGAGACCATATGGCTCACAGAGCTGAAAACATTTACCATCTGGTCCTTTACAGAAAGTTTGCCAACTCCTCCAAGGAGGAGTAGTATGCTCCTCCAACTAGAGCATAGCAATAAAGAAGATGGCCCCTGAATCAGGCCACATAGGTACAAATCCTGCCTTTCCTTCTTCCTAGCCATTCACCTTGAGCAAATTACTTAATCTCTCTCCGCCTCAGTTTATTTATCTGTAAAGGAGGGATAGTCATAGTTCCTACCTCTTATGAATGGATAAAGATTAAGCACTGTCTTAGTCAGCTGCTATAACAAAAATACCATAGTCTGGGTGGCTTATAAACAACAGAAATGTATTTCTCTCAGTTCTATAGGCTGGGAAATCCGAGATCAAGGCACTTGCAGATTTGGTGTCTGGTGAGGACCTGCTTCTTGGTTCATAGACAGCTGTCTTCTCTCTGTGTCTTGACATGGTAGAAGGGGCAAGGTTGCTCTCTGGAGCCTCTTTTATAAAGACACTAATCCGGTTACCTCTCATAGTACCTTTGGTTACCTCAAAATACCATTACGTTGGAGATTAGGTTTTAACATAACAATTTGAGGGAGACACAAACATTCAGTCTGTTGCAAGCACTTTTCTGCAAAATGCTTAACACGAGGCTTGGAATTAAAATAAGCTATTGTTAGCTAATCAGAGATCACCTAGAGAACTTCTTCATGGTTTTCCATATTTTCAGTCTGCTTGTACTGAAAGGGGACACAGTAGAAATTAATTAGTCCTTTTTCTTTAAAAAGAAAAAAGAGGACCTAGAGATCATCATATTAACTGAAGTCAGACAGAGGAAGACAAATATCGTATGATATCACTTACGTGTAGAATCTAAAAAAATGATACAAATGAACTTACTTACAAAACAGAAATAGACTCACAGACGTAGAAAACAAATTTATGGTTACCAAAGGAGATAGTGGGGAAGGGCAGGGGGGAATAAATTAGGAGTTTGGGATTAACATATACATATTACTGTATATAAAATAGACAAACAACAAGGACCTATTGTATAGCACAGGGAACTATACTCTGTCTTGTAATAACCTATAATGGAAAATAATCTGAAAAATATATTTATATGTATATATGTATAACTGAATCACTTTACTATATATCTGAAACTAACACAGCACTGTAAATTAACTATATTTCAATAAAAAAGGTTAAAATTTTTTTTAATTTAAAAAATTTAAATAGAAAAAAGTAAATAATATTTCATATTATATTAAAGTTGATTAATTTACTTCTCTCCTCTTTTCCAATTGTTGGAGAGTTTTCGGTTTTAGGTTTTGATTGACAAAGCACTGTATGGCTCCTCTTGGATTCCCGCAATTTGTATGTTAAGATTTTTCTTTTCAGTCGCTTTTAAATTTGTAAATGCTTGGCTTAAATTTGTGCAGAATACAGGCATATGGATGGGCCAGGAGTGCACAAATCAGAAGGGTTGCCTTCCTGAATGGCCTGGGAAAGGGTTAGTCCCTAGGACCAAAGACTATCATGGTTTTTAGTGGATTTTGCAAGGGTCCAAAGAATAGATGTCTTCTACTAGGCAGATATTTTCACGGATTCTTAGTAATTAATTTCTTCGCCAGGGCGAAACAACACTTAAAGCCCTTTGGAATAATCTGGACTTTTCCAGTTTCCTTTTCACATTCTCAAAGTGTAGTTTGTTTATGGCTTTTCCTGTTTCTAAAATCCAAACTCTTTTCCCTTTGTTTCACAGTAATATTAGACACATGAGGAAACAACTTGATCGACTGGGCCTGTGTTTCAGCTGGGATAGAGTAAGTCACCTTTTTCCTGGAAGGTCTTTATTTTAACCAAGGTCCTGATTGAATGGGGGATTGTGCACATTTACTTTATCTTCCTTCTCTTCAGGTTGGGAGGAAGGAGGAAAAGAAGGGTGGCAGAAAGCAGGAGGGAAGGATTAGCACTCCACAAATAAAAAAGTATCCCCAGTGGATAATTTGCCTGCAAACAAGTAATTTTCTGTGGGATTAAGCTAAGAGAGTTAACTTCTTATTTAACTTCACAGTTGGCTATTATTTATGTGTGGCAAAATCTTTGCACAAGGATTTCTCGTGTTCTCAGCAATAGTTTAAAAAGACTATTGGAATCTATGTAAAAGTGATTAAATATCAACCCATGTGGTCCCTTTAGGTGATTAGGTGTAGGTTGATGGATCATTTATCTCTTGTCCCATGTTTGGAATTGAGGCTTATAACAAAAAGCCTTTTGGTATAAAATGTTTTCAAACTGTGTATTAAACCACTGGAGAATTCCAGACCTGGGTGGAGTTCAGTGAAGACCACCTGGGTGTTAGGAACACCCACACTAAATACGGCTGAACCCTTTAAAGCTCTGGCCAAAGACCACCCCTTAGACATTGATGAGTGGTCTGTTAGGTAAGATGAACTCTTGCTTGTCCTCTCCACGAACCAATGTCGTGATCTCTCTTAGCATCCCACTAACTCCACAAAATGCTTTTCATCGCTGGGTCTGTCAAGTTCAAGTTCATATCCTTTTACTCATGCGAAGCACCTGGAGCAAACCCAAATGCAATCACCTTCTCCTCCTCCCCCATAATTTCTTAAATGATTGCAATTTGATGAGTACAGTAAAAAAGTGAAAATCAAACACGTTTAAACAGTCCCTGCTTTTTTCTTTTTTTCTATTTTTTCTTTTTTAGCTTCTTTAGATAAGGTCATGGGTTGAATCAAGTTCTTACTGTAGCACTGATGCCATTTTTATCACTAACTTGCAAGGTCACCAGGGTTTCATTTGGTAGAGGTGTGAAAAAGTCCTGGTGCCTGAGTCAAGTTGTCCTAAGGAGCCAGTGGGGAAGTGCTGATGAAGAATGAACTGCATTCTAATGTGGAGAGAACTGAGTAATGCCCTCAGCTCTCCAGAGATGCGTTGGTAGATTCCTTGAGAGTAGAGATGGGCTTGTTAACCCTCTAGGATGAGAACGAGCCTAGTCCTACGCAGGAACAGCAACCATAAATAGTTCAAAAATTAATGGATTGTTTTCCTGATTATCATAGAAGATTAGAAAATGCAGAAAAGTATAAGGAAGAACATAATGTGGTTAATGTGGTTAACCACAATGTGGTTAATTTAATGTCCTTGTATGGTTCCTCGTAGTCTTTTATTCTGGAATATTATATAATTTACTTTTGCAAAATAGAATTTATAATTTGTGTTTTTTATTTTGCTTTTTTTTACCTGCTATTCATGAACATTTTCCCAGTTGATTAAATATTCTTTGGAAAAAGTGACTTTTTATAGCTGTGTAGTTTTCCATCTTACGAATCTATCATAATTTATGTAACCTACCCCTTATTATCATGTGTTTAGATAGATTCTAATGTTCCTCTGTTATAAATATAGGTTCTCAATCACTCTTGTAAAAATCTGAAGTCCAGAAAGCTGTAAAAACGAAAAGTTTTTCCGTAACTCATTTGACTGCAAAATCTGACCTGAACTGATGTTTATCTCACTTAGAATGAACATTCATATATTTTACTCTAGGAATAGTGATGTAATTGATTCCTAGGTGCTCTCCCAGACCTAGTTAGGTAAATATACTGTTACCTTTTCATATCCAAAAAGGTCTTAGTTCTGAAGCACCACAGTCGGACCACAAGCATTTCAGATAAGGGATTTTGAACCTGTTAGTGCAGGATTGTAGGTAAATATCACCACCCCTTCTATCAGTGTCTAATAGTTACTGAACAATTCCCATGGGCCAGGCACCCATAATTCTCTCTTCAGATCTCTAGAAAGCTCTAAAATGTGGGTGATTTTATTGAGATCGTTTTATTGCTGGTCACCCAAGTGGCAGGGCTGGGCTAATCCACTGGCCACTTTATGACTGCTGTGCTCACCCCCCCGCACTTGGAGCAGATACTTTAGTACACATATTTTATTTCCTTAATATGACTTCTCAAAAAACCATGAGCAAGTTTAAAGCTTACAGTACTTGAATTTAAAGATACTTAAAGGTATAATTTGCTTATGTTACTTTGCTATTGCCAAATTATCCTCCATAAAGATTATACATATTTACACTCCCAGGTTATTATATAGTTGTTTTCACCTGTACTTCTTTTGTTATTAGTGATGAGTTTTTCCGTGCTTTTAATGAATGTTTGAATTTGGGGAGGGAGTGTGTGTGTGAATAATCTAATCCTGTCTTTTGCCCATATAGTTAGAGGGTGTTTGTCCTTTTCTTAATGATTTTCATTTTGTTACAAATATTTTCCCTCAATTTATCATTTGCCTTGCATTTTGTTTGTAGTGGGATTATTGTTAGCACACAAATATGTATTTGGAAAGGCCTTTCAGATAAATACATTTTTATTCTCAATCTTTTGTTTAATTTTTGCATTTAACTCAACTGGAATTATTTTAGTATATGATATAAGATAAGGAATTCCTCCTTTTTCTGAATAACCAATTGTTTTTGTCTTTGATTTTCAAACATTCTTTTCCTCATTGATTTAAAAGGCTAGCTTTATTATAACCATCTTCTTTTACACTGTTATTATACACTAAGTTCTGTTTCTGTTCATTTGATCCATTTATTACTATGTCATTGCTAAGCTATTTTTAGTTACAGTTGCTTTATAATTGGCTCTAATACCAGGTAACAGAAGTTTCTTCTTATTGTTTGATACTGACAGTGCCATCTCTACTATCTTGTGTTTCTGTTTCCTTGATATATTTTGCCCATTTGAAAAAAATTTTATCCTTTATTTGTTGAATTCTTTTGGTGCATCACTTGTGCATACAATTAATTTAAAAAAATTAAAAGATGGACAAAGCATATGGGGGAAACCTTTTAGCTAATCTAAAGTCTTTGTCTGTAACAGGGAAGTGTAAGCTATTTGTATTTATTTTTATAACTAGTATAGCAATTCTTTATTGTGCTAAAAGATAGCTGTAAGGGTCTTAAACCACGTGTTTAGTATCAACATAAAAAATAAAACTGAACATATGTTTTTGCCTCCCATGTGTCAGTAAGATAAGGAGATTAGCTGGCAGCATTGGGTCTTCATTGCTGCACGCAGGCTTTCTCTAGTTGCAGCGAGCAGGGGCTACTCTTTGTTGCGGTGAGTGGGCTTCTCATTGTGGTGGTTTCTCTTGTTGCGGAGAATGGGCTCTAGGTGCATGGGCTTCAGTAGTTGCAGCACGTGGGCTCAGTAGTTGTGGCTCGTGGGCTCTAGAGCGCAGGCTCGGTAGTTGTGGCACATGGACTTAGTTGCTCCGCAGCATGTGGGATATTCCTGGACCAGGGACCGAACCCATGTCCCTTGCATTGGCAGGTGGATTCTTAACCACTGTGCTACCAGGGAAGTCCCACACTTTCCACTTTCTAAATCTATTTTCCAGAGGTTTTTTTGGGTATGTTCTGAGATTTTAGGCCTAATTTCTTCTTATTCTTTTTTTTTAATTAATTAACTTATTTTTTTATTTCTGGCTGTGTTGGGTCTTCATTTCTGTGCGAGGGCTTTCTCTAGTTGCGGCAAGCGGGGGCCACTCTTCATCGCGGTGCACGGGCCTCTCACTATCGCAGCCTCTCTTGTTGCGGAGCACAGGCTCCAAACGCGCAGACTCAGTAGTTGTGGTGCACGGGCCTAGTTGCTCCGCAGCATGTGGGATCTTCCCAGACCGGGGCACGAACCCGTGTCCCCTGCATTGGCAGGCAGATTCTCAACTACTGTGACCCCAGGGAAGCCCCCTAATTTCTTCTTATTGAAATTTTTCTTATCATGTATCATTCCTTATACATAGATCTTTGCTTTTGGTTTTAGAATCATTTTCATAGCAAATTACTTAAACTGAATGCTTCTTAACTAGTTTCAGTGCTCATCATAGACCTTATAGAGCATGACCTTATAGAGCATGATTGCCCATTTTCACAATTTAGATTCATGAAAGAAAATGTTTAGATATTTTAGCTCTTGCTTTGAATCTTCCGATATTACATGTTATTTTCATAATGGAGAATGACTTTTCATTGCTTTCACCTATGACCAGCAACTTACTGGGATATGGAATTCTTTTTTCTTTCAAATCTCTTTAGTAGACCTTGATCCTTGATTTACTGTCTTAAAAAAAATACAAATTATAGACTTACAGGAAGTTGCCAAGATAGTATAGACAGATCCTATGGACCCTTCACCCAGCTTCTTCCAATGATAACATTTTATACAACTACAATATAATATCAAAACCAGGAAATTAACATTGGCACACTACCATTAACTAGAGTACAAATTTTATTCAGATTTCACCAGTTTTTATATGTACACACTGTGTGTGTGTGTGTGTGTGTAGGAGTAGTAGTAGTAGCTCTGTACAATTTAATCACATGTGTAGATTTATGGAATGACCACCATCTGGCCCATTGGCCTCTGATGGAGAAGTCTGAGGCCAGCCCAGATCATCTCTTTGTAATACAGTGATCTTTCTACCCTCGTTTTGATGCTTGTCGGACTCCTGTCTCTGCCTTTTCCATTTAAAATTTTCATCAAAGTGTAGCTCAGTGTCCATCCTTTCATTTTAATTTTGCCTGGTGCTTGGTGACCACTTTTGATCTGCAGTGTAGGTATTTCCTCCTGTTGGTTTTCTGGACTCTCTTTCTCAAGAACACTGACTTTGAGTGTTTGCTCTATTCTCTGTCCTCCATTGTTTTCACCATCTTTCTCATGATTTTGGTCCCTTTGTTCTTCTCTACCTTTTGGGAGAACTCACGTTTGCTTTCCACATCACTGATTCA